ATAATAGAATAATATACACAATGCAATTAAATGTTGCAATAGTTGTTGTAGTTGTTGCTGTTGCAGTAGTAGCATATGTTGTGGGTGTTGTTATCGACGTCATCGTCGTCGTCATCGATGTTTTTGTTGCTGTTGCAATTGCTGGTGCAGTTGTTGGTGTTGTTGTAGTTGGTTGTTTTTGTTGTTGTTGTCTTTATTATCATTATTGTTGTTCTTTCCTCTATCGCACAAGAAAATTATTCAAGAAGCAACTGCTCCAATTCTGGTGGACAGCATTTCCCCCCGACGTATATGATTATCCCAACTTAACAAAAATAATGTCTGCCGAATTCATGTGAGTGTGTGTGTGTGTGAGAGAGAGAGAGTGTGTGTGTGTGTGCGTGCATGTGTGTGCGCGTATGTGTGTGTGTTTAAATGTACGTGTTTCTATCCCTACTCCCACTCTACACAATTTAAACCATTTAGGTAGCGGGGCTTCGAACCTACCCGACAGATCCAACCCGGACTGAGAGGGATACAACGACCCATCAAATAAATCGAGATACTCGATGAAAATATCCCCCTTTTACGAGAATCGAACTCGGGTCTTCTGCGTGCAACAACGAAGCACCTAACTGCTACACCACAGACGCCAGTCATTTGTGTGTGACGCGTAGAGGTTTAACTGTTACCCCACAGGCAAAGGTGAACGCAAGCTGAGTTACGCGTTCATAACTTGTATTACAAAAACTAGACAACCAAAGAATTTTCCAGAAATTTCTTTTGGATAGGGCTTTTGAGTCTAGTTCATTCTTATCAGTCGCTTGTCAGTGCATATCTCTGTCTTCGTGGTATAAATGTTGTCCTCATTACGGCAGGCTGTTAGCAGAAACTGAAAGCCCTCATTGTATCTTACATCTTCCCCATGAGTCTCAGTAGCAACACTGAAATGATAGGGGTAACATTAAAATGTGTGTATTTATATAGCATATTCATATCTCTTGATGTCTTAGAAGGTAATGGCCTATTATACCCTGACCTTTTCGCGTCATCTTTAGCCCTTCCCCTCACCTCTCCTCTCCACTGCCCCCTCCTCCCTTCCTTAATGTCTGGCTCATACCTTCCCTCCCCCCTTCTCCAGAGCCCCCCACCTCCTTCAAACCAAACAACAAACAGAAACGTTCTCGATTTATTTTTTTTTTTTTTCTTGAAGTGAATGATTAACTTTTGTATTCTATTTTATAAACCACTTTTCAAAATTGTTTATTTGGGAATTTTGTTTGCTTCGTACCTTTTCTTTCTGTCTCTATTTCTGTCTGTCTTTTTACAGTCTTTCTCTCCCACTCTGACGCTTTTCTTTCTCTCTCTTTCACTCTCTCTTTCTCTCCCTCTCTCTCCCTGTCTTTCTCCCTCCTTC